TATTTTCTTACGTAAGCCGTGGTGGCGTTTTAGTAACGAGTATGGAAACTGCACGGTAGGTCTATCGTCGTTTCATATCATCATCGTCATCATTATTGTTGTTATATCGACGATTTTCATGTAATTTCGTGTTGTATAAGATTTACTTCGATTTAATGTGATGGAAGCATGCGGCAATACAATAGATTAATTTTTTTTTTAACTACTGAAAATATATATTTCGTTAATGATATTTAGGTCGAAAGTTGACGTTGGATAATTTCGTGCATCACGATGAATGTCAAAAGCTTCGTTATTTCGAACTTGATGGACTTAACGCCAACTCGAGTCGGAAGTAGCAGGTATACGTATATGTATATATTTACAATAGAACGGAGTTGGCAGTCGCGAAGTTAATGGATTTCGTCCCCTGAAACATCAAAGAACTTCCAACGATACATATATGTATATACATGTACAGCGTGGGGTCTTTATTCACGCGTGCACTGCTGAATTTATATAGGTTTGGATTTCACTTCAAGCCAATGAGACGTGGAGCAAAAATACCAACAAATATGGTTTTTTACTTGAAAAAAAAAAATCCCCAATGATTTTGAATGCAATACGAGTCGGTGGATACATAAACATGCGCTATACTCATCGAACTAGCATCGGAAAAACATGCGCTATGAATCATCAATTTTCAGATTCTTTATACCACAATTATTTGTTTTTCCGGTAATCACAAACGAAGCACATTATAAATACATGACTTTTCACTTGAACGACACACATACACACAAATATATTCTATCGGTGGAGCTAAATTGCCGCGCGCATAAAAAATAGGTACTATGTACAGTCAAGCTGATAATTTTTGTTCTTCAAAAGAGAATAGAACTCGACGGTAACGAACCCACCAGTTAACCGACAAGAGAGTCACGTATATACACACATACACACGCACACCCATGAAGATAATAAAAAGCACGCAACGCCTGTTAGTAAGTATACACCTCTACAACGCGAATTCGCAAAAAGGAGCGGCTTTGCTCTTTAGCATAATATATATATATGAGTAATACAAGTGTAGGGCGAAAGCGCGCACGTTCGCCCGACCTTCATTACATATGGACGAGAGGATAGAGTCAAATGTGGCTATACGTATACCAAAGACAGCTTTTTTTTTTTTTTTTTTTTTTTTTGGAAGAGCGTGAGTTACATGTCTCTTTCTGTTTTGTTATTCAACTCTCTGGGGACACTAAACATGAATTGTTCAAGAGAGGAGGAAAAAAAAAAGACTTTATTGCTAACGTAAGCCAAAAATTTTTAGTTTGATGCTTTAGAGTACTGTGACGGTGATGCATTTACAGAATAATAATCATCATGAGCGCACCACCACCACAGTAAAGTAAAAGTATATTATAAATATAAAACGGGCACTTTCTACTCGCCAGTGCAGTCGCAGCAGCTACAAGTACAGATGCATTCATGGTGAGCACGGTTGGGGAGCAAAGTAATTCATATGTATGTATAGGGTCCGGAAAATAGACGTAACAAATTTCACGCACACATACGAGACCGGAGCAGGAGAGATTTATGCGCGCGAAATCTCTCTTCGGCTGATGCCGGCAGTGGCACGGGAACAATAAAACTATATGCTCACGGAAACTTGAGCGCACACGGGGATGTTGGACTTTATAAATATGAAACTCAATCAGTTTGGCTAGAATATTGGAATCTTTATATACCTTTGAAACTTACGAAAGGGACTTTGCGTTTTTGAAAATACAAATGAAAAAGGGGGCAACATTTTGAAAACAGGTATACGCATGATTTTTATGAGAATGGAAAAAAGCAACGAAATAAAATTACACAGAGTAAAGCATATCGGAGACCGACAGGACCCCCTCATTGTCTCTCGTCTCAACGGTTAAAGCGCACTCGATAAAGAAATGGCAAACAAGCCTTCTATAAGTGTGATACCACCTGCATCTCCACTCATTGGCTTCCCTCAAATTAAAAACAATCAAATTACAGTACTTTTAACAATTAACTAAGCATACGGAAACGAGTCAAATAACAATTGGATCCCAGTTTCCTTGACCACCTCGGCCACGCAGCAATCCTTACACGGCTTCACCTATCATTGGCACAATCGCATCTCCGCGTCTTGTACGCTTTGTCATAGGCGCCGGTACGCATAATACACACCATCATCATCATCATCACACTCTCTCTTTCGTTCCATATATCTCATTGGCTCTCCCCGGCTGTAGTATATACCTATATACTTAATACCACGCTGCTACGAGACGGTGTGGTGGCAACGGCCTGGTGTCTCTTGCTCTTTCGGGCGCCGCTCTCTTACCCCCACCGTCGTCGCAAACAGCCGCGTATATGACCAGCGTGTGCCTCCCTCGGATGACCCTGACCTTGCACCACTTCCGCGTTATCCTCTCTCCCTCGCTTAGGCTTAGCTCGATCGCTACTCTATCTCTCTTTCTCTCTCCGTCGCACCAGTTCCGCGCGCACGACCGTCCTACCCCCCCATTCGCCGTTTCTCTCGCTTCTCTGTCGTTGCCCTGCGCTCGGTGCGAGGAGGAGGTCGATGGGTCTGCGCGATTTTTTTCGCCAACTCTGTACCTTCCTTCGGTGATAGTACGGGTGCATCCACTCTACAAAGGGGATGGGAACCGGGTCTGCTCTCCTCCTATCTTTCTGGTTTCAGGGAGATAATACAAGTGTACACGTTGCGCTCGTTAAAACGATAATTAGCATCGTTCGCTCGTTGCGCAACAATAACCTTTTTTTTTCTTTTTCTTTCTTGTTGAAGCGTTAATTCGTGCGATGGTTTTTTTTTTTTTTTTTTTTGTTTATCGTAAAAATAAAGCTTTGCGTGTAACATGATTTTTCTCCGCATTTGGATCTCTGAGAATAATAATAATAAAAAAGAGCGTCGAGTAGTAGGATAAAAGTAATAGTACAAATAATAACATATACGTGACCTGTGTGTTTACACAATTGGCGATCCATGCGCAGCGGCATTGCGATTAACGTGTCGTGAGTCATGCCAACTCTTTGTGAAATTACGGTGGAGTGCTAATTTTCTTACATTTTTAAATAACCAGAGCTGACCAAAAAAATAAAAAAATAAATAAAAAAAATAAAAAATAAACATTTATAGTCTGAGGAAACCACTAGCTTATGGATAATATAATACATTTACGTATGAGCATGTGAACATTTGCTTCGACATTTCTTGTACTTTGGGATTTTTTGCAATTTTCCAAGCGCACGTAGCACGCAGTTGGATACCCTGAGTGAAATGCCAGTCTACTATACCTACTTTGTCGTTTTAAATAACCGAGTGCCAAGGAGATTAAGTATATAGTCGAAAGAGAAGACGAAGCCCGAATTTCGAGAGCCCATAAGACTTCCCTGTATACTGGCTCTCAGTGCTTTCCTCTTGCTCATCGGCATATAACGTTCCTTTATACACTTCTCGCCTTTCTTTCCTTTGCGCACACACGAGAAAATTATATTATAAGTACGGGCCGCACCATGCGTCGTTACCGTGTAATTTGCAAGACCCTCCTCCCTACTTTTTATGTAGGAGCAAGTAATTGGTACTTTTTTATTTTTGCAACTTTTTAATCATTTTCTTTCTATAACATCTTTATAAATAATTTTTCTCAGTCACTAATGGTTGTTTCATTTTTTCATATCGACGGACGCCGGTGCCCATATTTGCCAATTGATTAATCCCATCATACCAGCAATATTGTAACGATTTACGATTTTTTCCATAAATTCAAGTATTAACTAAAAACGTGGTCTCAAAAATATTAAAGTGTACTACCGCATCCGTTGGAATAAAATTTATATTCGCTGAGATTAAAAAACGTAAATGGAGACATTCAAATTTTTGTACTCTGCAAGTAAAAAATTGAGAAAAAAAATAAAAACAAATAATTGCCAACTTACAGGTTTTCGGTGCTTTTACGAGTGAAAAAAGGGGCTGCCCTAAAAAAAAGGCTCCTCGGCGCACGTTATAAATTGCTTTAATCATTGCTTTGCATTCTTCATAATTCGTTGGCGGTAAATCTCTCGCCAGAGTCTCTCGGCGGCAACAGCGAGTCTTTCATATACACGCTCCGAAAAGAGCATTCGGACCATCGTACCTACCAATATGCGCATGTATATATATATATTGTCGCACCGCTCTCTCGCACACTGCACGTGCTCTCCTTCTCTCCGCTCCCCCCTCACTCGCTCTCTTAGCCCCTCGGAGAGAGCCGGCGTTTCCAACCGGACACATATGTAAATATAGCTCGCTAGGAATAATAAAAAAGATCTGTACTTTTGTTAAATAAATGTGGATTATTTTTCGTTCTAACTCCTATATGCTGTATGCTTTTTGAGTTGAATTCGAACGAAATGGATTTCTAGATTAGATAACAGCAACTATCGAATCAAGCAAATAGATTTACTGAGAAACACAATGATTGTAAAATAAAATTAGTATCCACTGCCATTGAACGGCATCTTACTCACAAAAATTTTAATTTAGTCGCTTCTGCGTTCGAGTCGACTACTTACACGTGTACATCGTGAAATGACGAAAAAACTTGATAAGATTAAAGAATTGCTGCACAATAATGAAAGAAACCATTGAGTAAAGTCATTGGCGAATGATGATGATGATGCGTGTACGAGATTTTGTTTCATTCATAACTTCGAGATTTTCGTTTGATTTTTAGGACATTTTTTTCACGTCATTGCTTTGTGGGATTTAATTATGCATCGGTGTATCAGATTCATCGATTGTTGGCGAAACGTTGGTTACTTCTTGGACAATCAATGGTTTGTCTGTATGTGTTATTTGACATTTATTATTCTATTTGCCCTACTTGAAACTTTGCCATTGCTTCTATGATGCAACGAAGAGTCTATTATCACAGGCCACACTTGAAATTAAGAGTAACTTTCAACACTAATAATTTAACGTGAACACTGACCTGTATCCATCCGCCTCTAGATGTAACAAGTGTGTAGAGTTTGTAAAGATCCACATTCCTTCCATTGACCTTTGGATTTTTCTTGAACGATGTGCTGAAATACAAAACATTTACTTGTTTACTTGTGAGGTTTTATAGTATGCCTTAATATAAAATATCATCAAGTAACATCGATAAAAAGTGGACATTTATGTAAGGTAAGCATCAAAAACTACAAAACGACCCTTGAAGGTGAATGAATAATTACTTATTATCACATGCACACGAGACTATAGATGATCTATAGGATATAACATTCCAACACTTGTTGGTTTAATATAGTGAGATAATTCAATACCTTATTTTAAAATTATTTTGTAAAAGCATTATTAAATTATATTGCATAAAACAATTTGTTTCACATAATATAGGCATTATAATTAAACTAATTTTTCAAAAAACACTGTGCTTACAATTATTTATCCCCACAATGACATATATTACTCTACAAAAAAAAGGTAAAAACATAACCTCAAAATGCCTATAGTTTTCATAACTTCACTTTCTTCCTTTTATTTAACAAGTTCACTTCTATTGAAACTTGTTTATTCATGCATTATGAATATCTTCAATTAATATTTATTTGACTAAGCAACCATTTTATCTGAAAACATTTAATGGTTTCTTGGCAGACAAAGAAACCAACAGTATTGCACATCACTACAAAAAATTTATCTTAGCAATAATTACTGCTATTTTTCAAATAAATTTAATCATTTAAGTTACAAAGGCAGTTTCCAGATCTTAACAGAATAAATAATGCTGCATGTGTGCATTTGTAGCTGAACACAAGACTAACCAACTATTTTGACGAGGAACCATATATGTGATTTGAAGTCAAATTACATTGCTGATTTCTGTTGTATCATGTCAAATGTATAAAACAGTTATATTTTAATGGCATGATCTTTGCAAATAGAATGAATCTAAATATTTCTAACCAAGTGGTCAATGAAACCATCGTCAAGTCTCACATCTTTACATAAAACGTTGAATATTAGAAGTGAATAAATGTCGACTATGTTACACATCGTTATAGAATCTGTTTGGTTTATTCATTCCAGAAAGTCAGAGTTTTTTTAGTACAAATACCATGCATTGTAGGTTATACATATTCACAACTGCTTAAAAAATATCTATTTGGGTATGATAAACATGTTCATACAAGCTTTTCAAAATAGATGCCAAAACTTTTGATGCAATTCAAATTATTTAGCCAGCAAGATTGATGAACTACACATTCTAAATTTTCTGAAAAATAATTTAGCACAGAGTTAGTGGACTTTTTTACAACAGACCAAGGATTCAGCAAATTCTTGTTTATCAGCAACTATCGAATGCATGAATATTAAACAGTATAGCCTCAACCACAAAAAAAAGTGTGGTAGAGAGAAAGAGATGAAAACACTCACCCTCTGGTATCGTGGAAGTGCTGCAGGTCGCGCATGAAGGATTCGCGCATCCTCTCGTAACTAACGGAGCTCGAATCCTTGGCATTATTTTGCTGATCTTTACCCGAGACACCAGCACTAGCAGCAGCAGCAGCACCGCAGGCAGTATTTTGCTGCTGCTGCAGGGCCATTATGTTCCTCATTGGCAGAGGAAGAGGACGACGAGGGATAGGTAGAGGGGAAGCGAGGGCTCGAGCAAAACACACTGGGACTCGCGTGTGTGTGCCTGATGTGCTCCTCGCTGCTCTTCACACGACGACACAACGTTGTCGCCGTCGTTAAAATTCACTAGGTATTGGATAAATCACGCCGACTACGACGACGGTGATGCTGATAATGTTGGTGACGGCGACGACGACGACGACGACGAGGATGAAACAACACTGCACGTCCAACCTCTACGACGACGCGGAGGAGGTGCAGCTCTCCCGCAGCTGCTCGTCCCTGCTCGTTGAGAACACCATCTTCGAGATAGGAACCGGCGCCCAGGAGTAATCGTAATTGTAGCAGCAGCATCGACGACGACGTTGAGGTGGAGGAGGACGACGCGCCAGCAGCTCCATCGATGGCGCCCCGTGCATTTGGCTGCTATACCTACTGCTGCTGCTGCTGCTGCTGCTCACTCTCTCACTCACACTTACTTATTATATGATACTTTACTCCACTCCGGTACTCGATGATAGTGAAGCAGATGACACTTGCACACTCAATTATATCCACACTTTTAGCACCACTGTACCCTGCACTTGTATTACTTACGTTACTAAAAACTGAAGCCGTCGTCGAACGAACGCAACTCCTTACTTACTATAGGTAGATAGGTACATATGTGTGTTGTACCAGCTATGTATACATACACATCTGTATATGGTGTGTATGTATACACACACGAGAGAACACACAGGACAGGAGGGACGGCTGATGTCCGCGCGCGCGGGCCAACCTCCTTTTTTTTTTCTCCCGTGATGTTTCGCGATTTTAGCCCCCGCGCGAACACGACGATGGGGCGCGCGCTCCTCTCTCCTCGAGGAGAGCGAGAGAGAGTGCAGTCCGAGACACACACGCGGTAAGTACGGATGGGGTGGCGCGCGAGCGACCGACCGACCGACCGAACGTACGATACGATGGATGATGATATGATATTCCCTCTCGCGCGCGCGTGCGGGTGCGGGAGAGAGGTATAGTGTATACTTAGTTGGTGTTGTGCACGGGCGAACGAACGACAAACACCACACGCAGCGAGAGAGCAAACGGTCTCTCACTCTCTCTCTCTCTCTTGGTCGTTGACGAATAACCCTCTCTAGCTGTCCCGGCGACGACGCAACCCTAAGAGATCGTGCTAATGCACGCACTTGTATGGGAAAGTACTGCAGAATATGGGTAACCCAGCCTATAGCTGCTCTCTCTGCCCTGGGCTGGTGCTCTCTCTGCTGCGAATAATATATAGTTCGGTTGGCGCGTCTCCGTTTCTTGCCTTGTTGCGAGTTTCCGATCGCAGCGCACCCGCTCGACTCAGTGGCTGTACTCGACGGAAACGAGACGAAGCTTGGAAATTACCTACTGTTATGTGATGTACAGTGCGATCGAGTTCTTCTTCCGACTTTCTCGACATCGTCACACACAATGCCTTACATTATTTGGAGGTGTGTGTGTAAATATCTCTTTCTTTTCTTGCACTCCACGAGAGTCAAACGGAGAGGGGAGTAATCGATTCCTCTCTTTTCTTCAAATTCATTCGCACCTGTCTCTTTTATTTTATTGTCGTGCGAGGGGGTGGAACCGAGGAAAGAGTATTTCTTTCTCGCATTTTTCTCGGGAGGCAGCGAGGCATGCTCACTATACGCACGCGCTCCGATTTCTTTTTCTTCTTATCCTCTGTTCTATAAATCTGTACGAGCAGGTATGCAGTATAGAAGATTGGTTGAATTTTATATGCATCTTATCATCACGTACTTTAAGGTTTATTGTCGCTCTTTTTCTTTTCTCATGTTTTGAAGTGGAAACATTGTACATATGCGTGTTCTTCTAAATCTTTCTGGCAAATACTTACTACTTATGTAGTGCCAAAGCCAAAAGAATACTTGAAACATTTAGTTGGAATACATCGTTTTGTTAATCTCCTGTTTTTTCGTAGTAATGCTCACTTGATTTTATCGGAAATTGAATTTGAATCACCTTGTCACGGTTTTTTTCAGTCTTTGATAAACTGTGCTTTGATTAAGATGTTATACTTACGGGTACCGTTTTGAGGGTGCCGATTACATTATCGATCCATCAATTGTATCAAAACGATCGATTTTTCAAACTCTGAAAAGTTACCTTCGGAAGTGTCAGTGCTGCCAAGTAACTGATAAAAAAACTCTACCTCTAAATCAATTACTTGTGGACATGATGACGAATATAAGAGAAAAACATTTTTTTACTCCCATAAACATTTTTTTGGCACTTTGGAATTTATTTTTTTTTATCTACACTACTTAAGTACTATTTTAAATTAAAAGTTCGCTGCGCTGATTATTTTGAATTTATCGCGCTGCTTGTGTGTGTTGGCAGCACCGAACGGGGTAAAAACAGGGAAATTGCAGTAACAGGCTGCCAGAAAAAACTAGTCATTTGTTATACTTACTCAAAATTTTTTACCAAAATCAATTTCTGACATTAAAATGCGACTTCAGAGTCTAGTTTCATTGAAAACAAGGTGTCTGTTGTACGGAATGCAAGAAAAAAAAATTTTTTATCTCTATCAATTTGAATTGAATCGCCCGCCGAAGCTTTGACTGGCAATTGCCATTGATTTCATGTCTTGTGCGGTAAAAATTTGAAGCTTTAAAAGAAGGCTGCTGTAAATTACAGTAGTTAAAATCTAAATAACGAACACTCGAGAAAATACTTTCGTCTATGATTAAAAATCTATGAGTTGGTTTTAAGTATTATTCCAGCAACAATTTCCTTGGTCCATTTACTTTTGTTTTCATGACGGAATTTTTGTTTGTTAACAATTCCAAAATTGATTTAAAAAAATGAAATCATGCACTTACAAATCAAACGATTTTCGCTTTTTACTTTAACACTTCGATAAAATTTGTCAAAAGTTACCGATTCTTCGACACAAAATATATTTTGAAGTACCGTTTATTTTGATACTCAAGTATCGATTCATTTACGTACACATAGTCATGATTTCGAAGTAAAACGAGAAAAAAAAAGACTAGCAATGAGGAGAAGAGACACAAGAAAACAAAAAAAAATACACGACGATGGCGCTAAACGGTCCGTGAAATTATGAAGTGCCACTGTAGATTACAAAAAAGACGCACGTGATTAATCGAATTAATTGTCTCTAATTCTCCTTGTAACAACTGTAATCCAATATACTTAATTTCAAAAAGAGCATCAAAACATATAACATTTTTTTAATTTCATAGTTTTTTGACGTTTAACTTTATTTATTTATTTATTGTTTAAAGCACTCAACTTTGTAAAACCGTGTAATCTTTTGCAAATGATTTTTGTATTAAAAAGAATTGCAAGTTGAAGTGCTTTTTTACGATGATGTTTATCCATAAGAAAGAGAAAAATCTTTCCCTTATTCGTAAAGTGGTAGCACCCCCCTTCCACCATATGTATTAACATGGGATTGTGTTGAGTGACGATTATACACTCACACGTTCTTTTCACACCCCTTGTGCTGTACGTCTTCCATGCATGAACGCGCGCCAAACAGAGAGAGCATTTTTTTATCTCCACTATCCTGTCGCGGATGTAAGTAACGTGACGCTTGGGATAAGTGTGCAAACGTGTGGTTTTATATTTTGTATATGCACGTATGCACGTACATCAAAATGGCTGACGATTTACAGCACGTGATGTGCATACATGTATACTACATAAATTTCGTTTTGATTTAATGCTCTCGGTAGGGGGTGGATTTTATAATCGACACCTCTTTAATTTGGGATTGGATGCAATGATAATTTTGAGCTTCTGAACTGTCAAAAATAATTTTTTTAAATCAGATTTTTATGCACTGAACATAAAATAATTGCAACCTATCTATTGGGGTTTTGTGGTTTTTTTATTAGGAGCTATTGGATTAGACTCGAATGAATGTGATAAACGTTTCGATGACTGACTGATATGAGAATCAACGATTAAGTTTACCATGAATATTTATATTTAGGATTTATGATTGGCGCACCATTTTTGTAACGAAATAAAATAAACTAATTTCTACTGGTAATTCAATGAAATTAAAACATTCGTTTTCGATTCTAATGCAGCATCTTTATACACCGCAGCAAATATCGCGCCCGAGGAAATCTTGGATGCACCCCAGTGCCAAATAAGATTTTTATTCCAATCGAGGTGATTAGAAAACGTCCAAAGTAGGAAAAATATAATGTTCATTCCAATTTAGTTCGAAATTTTTGAAATGCCGTATCGTTGTTGTAGGGGGCACTACTTTCCAGGGAACAAACGTGCAAGCTCGACGGATCACCTTTCAAACACCAGAGTACACATGTAGCGTCTCAGCCCAGCCCGCCGACGACGTGCCATCGTCGCAAGCAAGCGCTGGTGTCGAGGGAGGACTAGTTCAGTCAAGCTCTTTCTCTCTCGCACGCGCTGGCGTACGGGAAGCGATGCCGCGCTTGATCACCGTGGTATATACCTACCGCGACCGTCCTGCTTGCTCTTACCGTGTGTTCCAGTAGCGCTCTCCGACGCAAGATATCGTAGGACATAATTAAGTTGTGGGAGAGCGTTACTGGAACACACCCTATAGGCGCACTCTTACCATAACAGCTGAGGCGAGGGAAAAAGCCGGAAAAGGAGCCGAGAAGAAAAGGGACCAAGGTCTGTCTGGGCGCGGGACGCCGCCAAGCCCGACGGCCTGTACGTGCTCAAGAAAAGCCATGTATAATTATTAACATTAATCCAAGTAACATTTACATTAAGTTTCTCTTTATTAAGTTATGTACAATTACTTAACTCAACGTTGTAGCATAAAAGTGACATTAAACATACTTGTGCGTGCATTTGCTCATATTACTCGAATCCTCGCGCGAAACTCTTAAATTATTGAGTCTCAACCCAAGACTCCCAAACACATACCACATTCTGATAAGAAAGAAAACTTTGTGATTCTGGAATTTGATAATGAAAATTCAAAATCACCTTCAACGTCCACTTTTAGCTTGTAGTATCGCGAGACAAGAAAAATTAAAAAAAAAACTCCCAAACAAGTTTTGGTAAATTATAACTTTGTGCAATGGTGATTATGCAGCGATAAAGTGATATTCCAATCGAGTGATTCACGCTCAATATTCTAGCGACTTACGTAATTTTGGTACCGTACAACATCCCGAAGCGCAAAAAATCCTGCTGAAATGAAGAGTCCACCTCAGGAGAACGTCCTGTTGACGTTCCCAAGGATCACCAAAAAGAGCGGCCCTTAGCGAAAGCCCCTTTTGGTTGTATGTACATTCAAACCTCGTAGCCATTTAAAATCCATCCAAGACAAAACTTCTTACCGAGCGAGAATTTTCATATCCTTGAAACAAAAAAAAAACAAAAAAACTTAAAATCATCGCACCCTGACAAGCGACTCCGAAAATTTGAAAACGAAGTCGCTCCAAAATCATAATAACCCTAAAACGACGACATCGGCGCCAGCAGCAGCAAACCCACAGCGAAAGCTCAGAACACACCCTTTCGAAACTTTCTGAGCTCGAGAGTAAGTAATGGATATTATACCCACATGTCTCTCCAGCGGCGAACATCTGTTCTCTCTCGCCCTCGGCTGGAGCAATATGAATGGTTTGCAAATAAAGGACGGAAATTGTCGTCGTCATCGCCGTGTCCGTAACTCTCTACCTCGTACACGCGCGCATATACACACACAACGTGTATATAAGTTATATGCACGAGGGAGAGAGAGAGATATATTACATATAGCTTGTTGTAAGCAGTGAAGGAAGGAGCGTAGGCGAAACATGTCACGTCTTCGTCGAGGAAGGAGCGATTGCTCCTAAAAGTTATTGTTTTAATTGCAATTTTCTTTGCTGCCACAGTCGTCGTTGCACTTACCGTAACGGTGCATGTTTTTTTTTTCAAACGTACAACATGTACACCTAATACACACCAATTGTGTCGCTTGTGTGCGCGTGTGCGTGGCGCTCTCCGTTTTAATTGTGCCGTTCCATCGATTAATTTGTTTGTTTAACCGCTCGGCTCATCATTTTTTTCGGGAGGAAAGAAAAAATTTTCTTTTCCTCGTGTACGTCATGTACGGTTTAATACTACGTGCGGTTAACGCGCGGGGTGTGCGTTTGTGTGTATACACGACGCCCCCGCATACATAGAGGTGCTGTATACCTACAAAGAAGTGTATTAAGCAGCAGCGGCGGCGGCAGTAAAGAACATCAGGATCTCTTGCACTCTCTTGAGAGACAACGCTCCGCTGTTATACTCGTATTCTTTTTCTTCTTCACCTACTGGCTGTATAAGTATATATACATCGTAATATTATACACGTACCCGCAACTCTGTTGCACTCCACACGCACATCATACTGTGTACCTACGTATCCTGTATTAGAAGCTCATACGTGTGTATACGAGGCCCCTGCAGGGAGCCAAGTGAATTTCCTCCGACCGATAATGCCAGAGTAAGTTTGTCACATCATTATATTACATCATTACTATTATTATAAATACCGTGTATATATTATATTGTACACCTACCCACACACGTACATGTATACGCGTTTATATAGTAAATTATGTGTCAAATTACACAGAGAGAGAGAGAGAGAGAGAGATAATGATAGTATTTTTATGTATTATTTTTTTTTGTTTCTTATCGCGATGGGCGACGCGAAAATAAATATAAACAAGAGCACAGCCTTTCGGAGTTTCTTGCAGACACGCGTTATGCAGTTACAATTTATAATGCATATTATCCTAAATTGACAAGCATTACAATGAATAATAGTAAAAATATGTATTGGGTGCGTCAAGTAAACAAAAAAAAAAAAAAAAAAGCAACAACAACGGTAGTGACCATAAATATTATGTATGCTCGGTATTCCTTTTTCGGCGACTTTCGCCGCGTCGCGCACGCCTCAGGATATCCGGAGACTCGACGCGAGAAAGTATACACTAGACCCTCGCAGAGCCATGCACATTTATATACATTTACTTGTTTAATTTACTTTTTATTCATTATATTGCGTTTTTTCCCATCGATTTTTTATGGAACACGAGATAGTTTAATTGACTGTCACTTGTTGTTTTAAAAAAATATTTTTCATTAAATAACATTGTATGAGTTTTTTCTCTCGTTACATTAGTTTTATGGATACTTATTCTCTCCTTGACCGTTTGAGCCATTTAATTAGTGGAAAAAAAAGTACCAACTCGCCGAGCAGTTATTGAAGTTGAACGCAAAACGTGAAAGTCGAGAGTTGTTTTTTTTTTTTCTTTTTTCCTTTGGATGGCTGTATATATTCAATCATCGCCCGTTCAGTGCCTTTTTTTATTACCTCCCAGCGTATCGATATACGCGGCTGTGCGTAATAGAGTATAATAAAATTGTGTAATTCTTGGGTTAATTGTTTAGTAGAAAACTATGTACATACATTAGGTACCTAATGAAAAAATGCAGATAATGTACGAGTAATATATTTAATAGCCAACGCGTATATGTATGTTAACGAGTTGTATAGCATTGCGTACGCGAGAGCGCGATTGGAAAATCGTTAAAATTAACCAATTTTTTTTTCACCTGACGCATCCGAGCTTTTCCAATAAAAACTCACGCCCGAGACAAAAGAGGCCCTCTAAAAATAATCGAGCTGCCTCTCGTGTAGATAACGATTTATAAAGCACAGCGTTCGAAAGAGTATATATATATATATATACCTACGTATTTATGTATGAATGTGTTTACAGACGCATATAAGCCATGAGAGCAGCAACGCGTTGTGTAATCGCGTATTAGCGATGCCAGGCACTTTTATCTAAGCAACTCCATCATCCGATCTTTAAAGATCTTGCCTCTCCCCTTTCTCTCTCTCTCTCTCTCTGTACTGTCTGTGATGTGCGCTTTGTGCGCGCCAGTGTGTATACACGTGTTTGCGTAGTTGAGATAATAATATATTGTATTGATGACGTTGGTGATATGAATATCCGGGCGCAGATGTCGAGCTTCAACAGAAACACCGCCAGCCAGAGAGCGACGCCGGTGATTGATTATGACCGGCAGTTCCAGGAGGACCTCGAGCGCGCCCAGGCCCTCAGCCTCGAGAGCCTGGCCCTCGAAAAGTTCCGGCTGCAGAAGCAACAGACCCAGGGCTCCTCGCGCCCACCGTCCACCACCTGCAACAACAGCTCGAGCCAAAACAACGCGGAACCCGATGGCTGCACCAACGATAAGTACGTTATATATGCTGCAACGATTTGGATCATTGCTTCGCGGATATGAATGAACCATTGATTTCAGTAAGTTCCAACTCAAGAGCCGGCCGAGGCCAGGGAGCAACACGAGCAACCAGTCGAGGAACGGTATGATCGTGCAAATCCAGCCGCCCCCGGTGCCGAGTCGGAGAAACTCGACGACCAATCAGAGCCAGACTGCCGATCTCATCAACTTCACGAGCCCCGTCAAACAGGACAGCCTCGCTCAGTACTGCTGCGAGCCACCTCCTCCGTTGCCCTCGTGAGTACATGTATTTATACTTCATCATTTACAAACGAGGAAGGATAATAAACAACAAAAAATAATAATAATTGCCCTTGACAGAAAGCAAGCCGCGGTGGTGGTGGTCGAGCCGAAATGGGAGGGCCATACGGCGCTGCTCAGGAAAAATTCTCGGGTCTCGAGGAGCAATAGTTCCGCTGGTGCCTATCAGACGACGGATTTTAGGTACAACTCGGTGGTGCAGGTCAAGTGCACCACGGCGCCCTGCACACCAGGAACACCCGGCATCAGTCCGGTTCTAGCGAGGGCTGGAAGCGTCAGCAACAACATTCCCGACATCGTGCCGCAGGTGATTTTTACTATTTATTCATTTGATTGTAATGTTTTGATTCTCGATGTCGATCGACGACCAGAGTAGAGTAGCAAATTTTTTTTTTTTGTTTTTTTAAACAAGTACTGTTTGAAATAAAAAACCAATATGTGCGTTTAACACTACAAATCTTTTTTTTTTTATACCTTAGCCCACCTGGAATCCACATACATTTAGAACTTGTACTCTTCAGGTATTTCGAAGTAGATATCATCTCTCTTTTTGCACCACCTTAGAAACTAGAGTCGAATTTAATTGTTCGTCACCCATAGTCTGTGCATAGTTATTTTGTTTTCTCGAGCCACTATACTCAAAAAGTAGCAAATACGTAATATTGTACATGAGCACAAAAGCGCCACGCATAATATATATATTTTACCGATCTCTCCCACCTTTACTTCCAGATCCCACCTCTGCCAGCGAACTATCGGCCAGCGCCTCCTCCCGTTCCAACGGCCAACAATCACCACCCACAGCTGGCAGGTTACCCAACGGAGGACGGCCAGCTGAATGTTCCAAAGGTGGCCGTGAAGAAACTAAACAGCAACCTCATAGACCTGAGCGTGTTCGAGCTCGCCGAGGACAAGACGAACGTCCGTGTGAGTGTCCTCGAGGCGTTCGACCCGCTGCTCATCAAGACTGAAGAAGAACCTTCTTGCAGGGACACCGTCATTTCCAAGGCTTCTGTTAACGATGGTCAGTGCGCTATTTCCTCTTTTTTTTCCATCACTATACCGATCGAAGAGAAAAAAAAAATCGGTTCGAGTTTCGTTCCGCGTTTCTTGTTGATAAAAACACAAAAATTCGCTCAACTAGTGTTAGATTACGCGACCGCGCGCACCGACTCGTTTATAAATAAGTATAGTCGTTGTTGTTACGTGTGAACCCTCGCACACACTATCCGCGAGCCGATCGAGTGATAGATTCCTGTTTATCGAGCGCAGCTATTTTGCACCTATACCGCGTCGATTAACTCCAAGGCTGAAGCTGCAATTAGTATATTACATTCATGTACAGCCAAAGACTCGATAAAGTCACCCATTCGCGAAATACTTGAACCGCGGATCAGTATAAACATCGATCAATCCGTACATGTAAACACGATTGTTTCATTTGCAGATACAGAGTCACAGATGGAAGGATCGGTATACGACCCCTTCGACCCGTTCGATTATATGTACAGTACGAGCGAGACCGTCAACTCGGACCCGGTGTACGCGGCCGTCGAAAAGACCTCCAAGTCACCGATAGTCTCGCCCGCGGCACCACCGCCCCTTCCACCTCGCAACTCCTCGGCTTGGAACACCATCGAGAGGAGGAGAACGTCCCTGGACCGCAGAGTAAGTATATGTTTTTTTTTACTTTTCGAATTTTCATTCCACATCTGTACTCACTGGGTGCGTTTTGGGGTATCAGCAAAAGCGACGGACCCGGTTGTACGAGAACGTGACGATCGTCAAAGCCAGGGCCTCGCTGCACGACTGCGATCTACTGGCCTTCCACAAGATGATCCTATCAATCAGAGGTACGTGAGTTAGGGAATTTTCAAACGATTTTCATACCGATTTTACAATCCAACCGATCGATCCAGGGGACTTTCCGTTCAACGATCCCAACACCAACATCGGCCACGTCGTCAGTCCGATGATGGAGAGCTCGTATCCGGAAAACACGAGCATCAAGCTGATTGTGCACTCGAAAATGCTGACCGAGGCGAAAGACACCGCGCCGTCCATATCTTTTACGTGCGACGGTAAGTAGATCGGACAATCACTTTGTCCTCTCTTCAGTATTTACGAGAGACGAGGAAAGAGTTGTATGTGTAACAACGTTATGCAACGACCTCGCGTTATCGTTGAAATATAATTATATCGCTTGTCGGTCTGCTGTGCCGAGGAGAAATTAAAATTACCCATCGATGAGCGCGAATAATGTCGATTACGTTAAAATTGACGGGAGAACCGTTCGGTGTTTGTGTGCGATAGTCAACTGCAGCGTGGAGCACGTCATTCTGAACGTGGCCTGTTCGATGGAGGACGAGGGCACGGTCAACGTCGACAAGTACTGTCTCAGGGTGTGGGGTTTGGCCGAGTACTTTGCCCCAAGCACGAGCCTCGCCCAGTACGAGTACGTCCACCAGTGCATCAAGCTGGAAAAGGACATTGAGCTCGCCATCGAGACCCGAGCGCAAATGAAGAGGTCGATCGCTAGAACGGCAAGTGTCGTGCGTCTGCATGTACCTGTGACTATAAGAGAGAGTAACGATGATGAATGCATTTTTCTTATTCTTCAGCTTCAAGATGACAATCAGGATCAGTACCTCAAGCTGGAAAACATCCTGCCGAACGAGCCGTTGCAGCCGATATCCTACGACACCCTCCTCATCCTTCTAGGTGAGCCTTGACGACGACCAATACCACTTTTACTATAGAGAATGGAAAAAAAAACGTGCTTCCATTTCCCCAGAAACCGTGGAGAAGGAGATGGAGAGAGTCGAGTCGACGGCGGCCCAATTGGCGACGTCGAGCCACGGCTCTGGCCTCCTGCCCCAGTTGCAGCCCAAGGGCGTAGTGCAGGCGGTCAAGGCCGTCTGCGCGCTGATGGGCAACATCGAGACGTACGAGATCACCGAGGCGGTCGACAACTTTGTCAACGCGTGCTGCAAGTTCCTGCCTCAGATACACACGGCGAACATTGAGTGCAAAAAACCCGAGATACTCCACGAGGACGGCGATTACGCGGTCGTGACTCTGAGGACCAAGTTCCCGGACGTCATATCCTCGCACTGCAACAAGATCAGGGACGCGGTGCAGGACCTCGTGGAGACGTATTGCCACGCATTTAGGGTCGATTTTCAGCTCAACAGCCGGGGCGAGTATCCGACGAGTAAGGAAGAGCCTTTTTTTCCCTTTAATTATTACCATTTGAGGCTTTGATGAAAAGAGTTTAAGTACCATTTGTCTCGTAACTTCGACAGATACTCTGATCTCTTCGCAAGTGCTGGATACGGTTTTAGTGAGGGTAGGGGCGCTGCACAGGTTGCCGAGCTCGTGCAAGCACGACGATTACATTGTCGCAGCGCAGATATTCCACGGTACCAGACCCGTTGGTAATCCCGTCCTCTCCGAGCCCATGACGGCTGGCCATTCGAACTTTTACCCGAAAATCTTGTTCAATTCCTGGTAATAATTTATTCTTTTTTTTTCTCCTTGGATAAAAATAATACTTGTACATTTACCTTTGGAAAAAAACAATAGGTTGGAGTTCCGAGGATTAAGCGTTTGTCAGGTTCCGAGGGAAGCCCGACTGGTGCTCGTTATCTACGGACGAACCCAGCAGCCCGTCGATCACGAATCCAACTCGAACCAGAGTACCATGGAGAAGGTAGAGATAGGCTGGGGTTCTCTGCAATTTTTCGACTACGATGGGTACGAGATGAAATTTTTTTACTTTCCGCCAATAGTATACATTTTTGTCATAATACATATTGAATAAAAAAAAAAAATGTACTGTTCAGTTTGAAGTGAACTTGAGCTTAAACGTACTGTACATTTTATTATGTGTCTAATTGCTATGCGAAATTGCTGTAATATTTAAATGTCTGTTACTTCTTCGTGAGCTTCTTAGAATTTTATATCTTATGTTTCACACGTTACTACTTGCATTAAAACAATACTCTAGAGACTGTGCTACATTCATACTTTTCTACGTTATAATATATTCAATAGTTATTATCTGCAAAACGAAATATTCTCGAACATTCACATATAAACATATAAATATACCGTGCTCTGCGTAGCACTAGTCAGTCCAAGCAAGTGCCGTGGCTGAGTTGAACGCTTCACTCAGTTCGCACCTGTACATAGTATACCAATTGATTGAAAATAAATGTTGCTGTTAATTTACAATTACAAGTCTCACATTAATCATTTTCCCTGTATCTGTCTTCGACGTGGTCTGGGCTTTAGCTCGTGACAGTAACGGCCCTTCCACGAACATGTACGTTAAAATCATACCAACGTAAAATAATTCAGTGTAATCTTGATTTTTTATAAAAGTAAGCAGTATAAAATAATTACTAAAATTGACCTTATTATGTGATAAAATAATATTTAACTAATCACTTCACTGATATAATATATATTTAGATATTGCTTAAAGAATCTGTGCAATAGTATTACGTACAATTTTACACTTTTTGAAATGTATGGAAATTAAATTTTTTTTATCCACCACAAAATAGTAAACGTCGAAAGTTTATCTTTAAACAATATTTTTTGTCTCTAAATTATTACCTTGTTCTATTTAAACATAAATTTTATTCCCGTTTTTGCATCGAGATAAGGTGACGCATAACTGACCATACAAAAACAGTTTTTTTTTTTAAATATAATCCAATATCATCAAACCTTTAACCTTAAGATTTATGTATAGTGGTGGGAATCGCTTGGACTGCAGAAAATTTTTTTCTGTATACAATAAAAGGTACGTAGTGTCTATTCACACGGTATATCTACGTAACTACGTGGATATAGTAAATACGTATGCACAGTAGGCAACGCTACTGTCCGGTACTTATAGGGTCCAAATTTTTTTTTTCTGAGCAAGCGAAGTGAGCGAGGCGCATGCGTAAGCTAGGATATAAGGTGTGAATAGATACAGCGCAAAAGGTAATAATAATAAATAAGGAAATATTCTGTCAATGAAACGAAGATTAGTATTACGTTTTAAATATGAAACAAAGTTCAAAGATATTACAATTTAATACTTTCTGGTACAATCATACTTCTATTAAGATTTCTTGACACTGAGAGATTCGGTCTAGAATGTTCTTCGAAAACAATCGATTTATTACCAAAATGCATATCAGTTTTACGTATACCACGAAATTCTCTTTCAACTATTTTTAAGGCTTTTTTGGGATCATAGATAAAGTTAAACATTTAAGTACACAAAACAGTTCTTTTCAAGGTACAGTTTTTTTTCATACCAATTTTCGTTGGTATAAGGAAGTTTTGATTTTCACATGATTTTTCTTTTAATTGTAAAATTTTATTTATTTGTAGAAGTGCTTGATTTTAGTGTTTCTTCAACTTCTAAGGGCATACAAAAAAAATGAAGTATTCAACTAATATTCGAGAATGGGGGGGTTGGCGCACTGAGCGCGTAGGGAGATAAAGCCTCTTTTGTGTTAATATTATTATCTGTAGATGAAAAAAAAAAATTGTATACCCATTTGCATAAAATGTATAATTTACATGTATACTTGCATGTATGAGACGTACACCTATTTTTACACATCTGGGGTCATAAATATCAATAGGGTCTTTGTCAGCCTCTCTTAAAATGGTGTAGGGGGCTGTAGGAGCAGTGGGCAGTTAGGACAGCAATTAGGATCTGTTGATGACACGATTATATTAACACATTTTTCTGTTATTTTAATTTGTTCGTACATTAAAAAAAATAAATCTGATTCAAACATTAAATAAGAAAGGTATTTATTTTATTAAACATTACACACTAAAGAAGATTTTAAATAAAATAAAATGTTTACATATGTGAATGAAATGTTTACTTTTTTATGTATACATACACTCTTATTGTTCACAAGGTAATTTCATTAGACTCTCGTATCAAGCATCACTATAACTTATATACTTATTTAATTAAATTTCTCTATTACTTCGTCTCCTATTTTTGAATTTTAATATATGCTCTGTTACTACCTCTATGAATGAATGTATTAATATATTTTATGGTTTAAATTGACGTTATATATTTAACATTAATAAAACATTTACATTCCATCAGTAGGAATTCATTATACAGCCTCCCCACACTTACCACAAAAACTGATAAATTTTTTTTCTAAAAATATGTTACAGAAGGTGATATAGAGAGTAATTTGCTCTATTCAATTCCTCCCACATTCCTGAACATGAACATATAATTTATTGTAAAAATTCTTTATCATGAGGTCAATATAGATCACTTACCATAACAGCCATCCTACACTCCCCCCCC